TGATTCCTAACTTGGACAATACGATTCCTTTGCCTTTGAGAAGTACTGCCATTGTTGACTTAGGTACCCTGGAGATCTGTCCCTTGCATATTTCTGCTTGCACCTTTCTTTTCTGTGTCCCTCAGTTTTCAATATATATAGAAGCACCTCTACAGAGTGAATCAGCAGGTTTGGTAAGAGGGCCACATTTTCTCAATGATAGTTGTCTTTTAGGGGTTCTTGTGTACCTCTCAGTGATCATGCAGGCTGTATCAGGGAATCCCAGGGTACCCTCCCTCTCTCAAGATGCTGCTTGTTGCCCTTAAATGGGGGCAGTGGAGCAGTAATAAATGTTTCACAGGTTTCCAAAATTCATGAAACACTGAATGCACCCAAGATGGTGACCTAATTTTTCAAGGCATGCTCTATCTTCTGATGTAGAGTTTGGAAATTCTTGCTTAGGTCCTACTTATCACATCATCCATTTGTCTTTGTTATAAATTTCTGTAGGCTGGCTTATACATGCCTGGTCAAAAATGCAACCTTGAGGGGTAACTTTACATATGTGAATGTGCCGTGCATATCTTCATTGCTTCTCCATAAGCTTTCACATTATTTTCCAATTCCATTTCGTTCTCTTGAGAGTCATGTTACATATTAATATTGATGTTTTATTTTCTTGGTATTATACTGTTTTAATGGGTTTACTGAAGCCAGTTAATCCTATAATGTAGATTTGCTTTTTGTTACTTTATATAGTCCTGATCTGTGCAGAAGCATCAAATTTATATAAATGTTCAAATGGCGGTACACAATTGCAACGTCTTTTAATTATGAAATCTGTGACTGGCTTGCTAAAAGGGCAACTATGGAATGGATATTGTTATGTCTAATGCAGATGCCAAAGATTAATTTAAAAAATGTCTTCCATACAGTTTGATTCAGGAGGTTCCAGAGAGGTAGACCCTGGATTCCTGTTGGATCTAGCCCATAGTGTTAGAATATTATCTGTACATACAAGGAGGTCCTTTATATTTTACTCCATGTATCTATAGAATACTAGACCCATCTGACCATGACAAAAATGGAGGCTTTTGGCAGGGTGGGAAACTCTTTGTGCACTGTTTGTAATTTCCAGGGCCACAGGCAGTGTCAGAGAAAGCCCAAGCAGTGCCATGTGCTGCTGCGTTCTCCCCCTGAAGGTGACACACTGGGCAGGCCATGCTTGGCATGTAAACACGACTGCAGAAAGACAGCGCTGGCAGCCTTACAAGCAGATGATTGACAACTTCCTGTCAACAAAGTAAAAAGGATCCGGGAACTGCCTTGCAGCCTATAAAGCAAGACATTAGCAAGGCTGTTAGGAAGACTTGGGGAAAGAAATCTTGGGCTAGTCTCTGAAGTTGTTTCTGGCTTCTCTTTCCCTCTAAGGCAAGGGGGCAGCGTTTCCTTCCAGTCCTGACTTGGATCCATTTATCTTCATGGAAGCAGAAAGAAAACTGATACAGCACCACAGGGCAAATAAATGCCAAATTACTGCTCTATAACTTCCTTAACCTCTTTAGACATACACAGATCTTGTTTTAAAAGCTTTATTCTATTGTAACTTGTAGGAAATATGCGTGGTCTCCGAAGCATACCAAGTTTCCTCAATGCCGTTTGCTAAAGCTCTCGCACATGCGGGTTCTCTCTCATTATGTTTAAAACGAAAGGGCAATTAGTCAGCTCAGGCCATGCAGATAGGCAAACTAAAGCATTTGTAAGATAGAGAGTCGGCCAAGGAAGGAAAAAAGAGCCTCTTATAACTTCGGAGGCTTGGTTATTTGTTTTATTTCTTGCAAAGTCTGGACGTAGCTCTTAGCTTTCCCACTCTGTAATGCTGGATTTGCTCCCAAGGCTGAAGTAGCAGGCTTCGTTATTTCACTGGCCATGATCACAGCAGTGCAGACAGAGCCATCTTTCTGTAGGCCCAGTGATGGTTAGAGAGCCTAGGAAATGTCGCTGTGGGCAGCACGGTAGACACTTGCAGGAATGGTTGCAGGAATTTTAATATTTCAGGCTTTTTTAATAATATTGTTTAAGGCTTTATTTTAAATCTATGCACTGCTGGTAGGTGTTATTCTGATTTTACCTTCTGTTTTATACTCTAGTTTTAAAATTTTTAAATTGCTATAGTGCATTTAATGCTGCAGTTTATTTTTAAATTGTTGTGAACCTCCCACAAAGTTTTAACTATTGGGCAGTATAGAAACGTAATAAACAGATGAGGTGGAACAAGCAAGGCGACAAGAACAGCAGACAGCCTGGGATGTTCAGTAATGCATAACTGGTTGAGACTACAGAGTGGTTCTGACAGCTTACATTCCAAATCTGATTCTCTAAGTGGATGCTACAGTAAGAGAGCAAGTAGATTTCCTGGAGTAAAACTTATCTTTGCTTATCATATTTTTTAAAAAATGGCAAAACATGTTTTGAAGCAAGTAACTTAAAGGCAGAAGGAAAAAAGCTACTATTTCCTGAAGCAGATGTCTCTCCCTTACATTTGATTTATATGTAAAAATGAGTAAGATGACAGGTAAAACATTACTTGTCCAGAAAAGAATCACTGGAGTTCAAATTTGTGTTCATATGTTTCATGCAGATCTATATGCTCTACATTCATACTTGGTTATTTACAGCTTTTAAAAATTCCTCCCAACTTCAGCTGCGCATTCATGAGCTTATGCTTTGGAGTTAAAAAGGAGGTTATTGCAGGCAGACGCTGTTCAGAGCAGACAGAAATGATATTTTAAGAAGTCAGATGGGGTCACTTATTTGCAGTTATGACCATCCACCCTTATTTTAGCTGGAATCTGCCACCAAAATAGAACTCAACAGCTGATGCAACTAAAACTTCTAAAATATTCTTACAAAATATGACAAGCTTTGCATAAGCTTTGTAACCTTTATTGATCTTGAGTTTCTTCTTTTGCAGAAGAAGGCAGGAAAGAAGATAAGAGTCATTCTGTTCATGAAATCTTTTAGACTAATCCACAGAAACGGGGTTTCTCCCAAGCATACAGAGCTTCATTGAGCAGTGAAGTAGGTGATGTTAGGGATAGCTAGTACATAGTCACCGACTGACCAGTTGGTTGGCTGGGGATGAGAGGAGTTATCTGGAAGGTGCCAGCTATATGCCTTGGCACGTTTCTGCGCCACATCATGAGAAGGCAGAACTTCCTGGAGGAGACCGTCATGCTGGGGAAAGTCAAAGGCAGAATGAAAAAAGGAAGCCCCGATGCAAGATGGATTGAATCCAGAAAGGAAGCCACAGCCTGGAGTGGGCAGGAACTCAGCAGCACTTTCACGGATAGGGCACTGTGGGCTTTCATTCAGAGGGTCACCATAAGCCAGAGACAGCTTGACGGCACATAGCGACAACACATTTTTCTGTTCCAGAGCTGGCAAGTGTATTTACCTGGAGAAAACCAAGTCTAGACCCTGCACATAAGCTACAGCAGATTAGAAACTGGGGTTTTTTATTATTACATTCCCACTTTTTTCCTCCAGGATGGCCCACATATGCCTCCTTTCCCTGCTATCATCACAACAAGCTGAGTCAATGAGTGGCCCAAAGTCACCCAATGAACTTTGTGGCAGGTGGGGACTAGAGTCCAGGTACCCTGAGTTTCAGCCCTGCTTCACACTTAAGATACACACAAGTAGTGATCTGGTCTCAGTTCACATGCATCCTGAACGGGGAGCATCATCCCTGGTTTGGAGGAGGAGTGCTGCAGCTTTGGTGTTGGGGTCCAAATATGACACAGTGCATTTATTGCTGACCAAGAACTCTCATTGCTGTTCTCAGAATTGCAAATGAGCTGAAAATAAAATAAAGGATGTGCTTTTTGATGGTGATTATGCTCACTACACAGGCCACATTGATACATAAGCTTCCCCTGGCAAAACCCAACAGAAACTCCTCAGGTTCTGGGGCTGAGTACAAGACATGATAGTATATCCTGGATTTTGTAGCTCACACTGAGGCTGCAGTGCCTTCAGAATGAGTGCTGCCGCCATTTTGAATATGCAACCCTCACTTGGAAGTTGTCATAACATGTGAACCAAGTGAGCATGGGTTCTGTGAGAGTTAAATAACCCTTACATAACTGTAAAACAGATCGTAGGCAAACGTTGTTTAGCCCTTGCATAGCAAGCATTCCCCGGGTTCACACAACACAACCAACAGGGAGGAAGCAGTTTGGTGCCCATGGGCACCATGGCTCATCATGGGTTAAATCCAAACCTGGTTAGTGTCTCTCAGCCTAATTTTGGCATTCTGAGGCGGTCACACATTCCTGGGCAGCTTGGAAGAAGACAGGATACGAATGTTGCACCATGATTTCCCCAGTGGCAACATGCAGGGGCCTAGTTTTTATAGATTTATGTGTAGGCCGAGAAGGGAATGAACTTTGTGGATTCTGTGTTATAAAAAAGTGGTGTGTTCACTCCTTTTCCATTACTGCCTTGTAACATTTTAAGATCATAGCTCATGATGCTGAGAGGCATTGCATGCCGAGGCTTTCTGACCCTGCCAGTTATACGTGGGACAGGGGAACTTGTGCCATTGCAATGTGATGATTTAGGATATATGATCCTAAATGTTACAGGAGAGAAGGGGAGAGAAGGAGAGCAGTATCCTCATATCACAGGCTCCAACATACAGATTTTATCAACTGTACTTGTCTGTGTGGTTATACATGGTGTAAGATGTTGTATAACAGAATGATGTGAAGTGACAAAACCAAAAGAACAGCTGAACTGTCCCTCTGATAGGCTGCTTTGCTTTATTGTAGATGACTGGATTGTAAACTGTGTGTTGCTTTGTTGGTTGGTTTGTTTAGGCAGCTTGAAGTACAACAATATATATTGGTGAACAAGAGGACCTCCGTGAACACCTAAAGAAGATTCAGGATCATGGCTAGGGGCTGCAGAAACGGCTTGTTTAACTTACCTCCGCTTTTCTTGTTTGTCATTCACAGAATGCTACAGATAGCTCTTCTAATTCTTCTCAAAAGAGAGAGCAGCCTTTGCGAACCCTAGCATCACCTCCCTCCTGTGAGCATCACAGAATTTGCACCCGGGGTCACATTCATGACCAGTTTAGCCCTGACCACTATCATCTAGAACAGGTAAGTCCTTGGCTGCAAAGACCCTTTTGAAATAGTGTAATATCTTTCCCAGATCAACTGCAAGGTGCTAAGATCTCCAGGCACAATACAGTAAAAAGTAGCTTGGTGGGGGGTGGGGGTGGGAATAGGTGAGGGGAAAGGCTGAGTGAATGTAGTCCGGATGTCTCCGTAGTTGTAGTGCTGAGATTATGTTGAAGAAGAGACATTCAACTTGAATTGCTTTTAGTTATTTCATCTCTTTAAGACATGTCCAATCTGTCCAGTAGCCAAAGTTCTTTGGACAGGTTCTGCTGGGTGATGGTCTCAGATTTCAGCACCCCTTGCATCTTTGGAGCAAGAATGTAGCAGACAATTGTTGATCCTCAATTCTTTTAAAAATAAAATCTGGTTATTAACTCAAAACTGTTTCCATGCTGGGCAAACTTGACAGGTCCCTTTGCTGCTAGAAAACACAAGTAGAAATCAGCTACACAGTCTTTAAATTAACCAAGCTGAAGGGAGGGAGGCAAACACACTTTTCTAGGTCTAGTAAACTGCAACTTGTTTTAAAATGTCTGCTTCTTGAAATACTTCTCCGGCAGTCCATACATCGCTCCTGTCGGCATGTCAGCTTCCCAGATGATGACGAGGAAATTGTACGGATTAATCCACGGGAAAAGATCTGGATGACAGGTTATGAGGACTACCGCCACACCCCTATGCAGGGAAAGTACGTTGATTCGGATGACGGGGACTCATATGTGCGGTTTGCCAAAACTGAGCCCTCAAAACACGATTACAATTATCCCTACATAGGCAACTCTGACTTTGATCCAGGCGAAGACATCAAGGGTGCTGTGATAAAGACTCAGCCCGCCAGGTGCAAAACACGGCGGCGGAAAGAAGATGGGGAGAGATCCCGGTGTGTTTATTGCAGGGACATATTCAATCACGAGGAGAACAGGCGGGGCCAGTGCCAGGATGCTCCGGACAGGGTCAGAAGCTGCATCCACCGAGTCAGCTGCATGTGGTGCGCGGACAGTATGCTCTATCACTGCATGTCTGATCCAGAAGGAGACTACACAGACCCTTGTTCTTGTGACACCAGTGACGAAAAGTTCTGCCTCCGGTGGTTGACCCTTATTGCCTTGTCCTTCATTGCCCCTTGTATGTGCTGTTACCTGCCCCTCCGGGCTTGTTATCACTGTGGGGTCCTGTGCAGGTGCTGCGGTGGGAAACACAAGGCAGCCGGATGACAGCCCTCGGTGCTTGTGAAATACTTTACGTGTTCCCTTTCGCGACGAAGCATCTTGATCCTAGTATTCGCCGATCTTACGAACATCTAGACACAGCCCAGGGAGCCTGACGGAATCCAGAGACCAGCCGGCTCATGAGTTTTCCTCCCACTCGGCTGCTATGCATCGATTGCTCACTGAGTTCTTCTAACAGACTAATGTGCAGCATAAACGTTTGTAGGATTGTTCTGTAATATTAATGAAAGGAATGTCTTGTACATGGTTATTCCTTCCCTCCCCTGAAAGGAAATCAAGACGTGATGGTAGAGCATGGTGAACTTCCAAACATCTCATGGTTTAATCTGTATTTTGCAAGTTGTCGGCACATGTGGAAGTCTGGTATAATGGAATGAAATCCCACTTTAAAGTCTGTTTGACTTCCAGCCTGTGTGCGTGTGTTTGTGTGTGTGTGTTTGTGTGTGTATGCGCGCATGTGTAAGAAGGGTGTGCTACTAACAAGTATGCACCACAATGATACAGTATTGCTGACAATCTTTATTGAATTCTTGCCAACTGCATTTATTTTGACAGTGGCTTGAAATGATTTCTCTGATCTTCATGCATTTAAATGAAAAGTGGGAAATGAGCCTTAGTATCACCTCTATTTCATAATAGGAAAACTCAAGTTTCAGACCAATTTTACATATGAAAGGGAAACTTTTAAGTGTCTTCTCTTCCACCCTAATCTTTTTCCTCCAAATAACATTGGGAAATAAAGCTTTAGTGTTGACTTTCTTCACGATGAAAATAGACTTACCCTCTTGGGTTTCCATTTGAAACAAAGGGATTTTTCATGTGTTGGTAAATTAATATGAACACCATCTATCTGTGGTGCGTCTTTAAAAGATTTTAAAAGAGGGAACATTGGTGATTCGTTTTAAACAACAAAAAACCTACATTGTGTGTAAAAGGATGGAGGAGAATTTTGCTCTCCGCCCCCCAGCTTGAATCCAAAACGGGAGCATTTCTGGAACGGTTCCAGGGTTCTGTATTTTCCAGCAGGTTCCTGACCAATTCAGAAATACAGGGAAACCTCTACTGCTAAAAGGAGGTGTGTTTTTGTCTCTCTGTGTTGTTTTTTCTTGCCTCTCCCAGCCTTGGAGGCCTTTGAACATGTGCAGGTGCTCTGATCTTTTCCTCATGGAATAAAACACACCACTGCCTGCATCTGGGATTGTCAGATGCAGTTGTGAACCTAGCGCAGCCTGTGGGAGATGCCCGAGGCAGCCCACCACACTACCATGGCATTTGACAATCACGTACATGTAGGTCAGGGACACCGTTTTTTTCACTCGGTTTCCCACAGCAGAGGTGCAGACACGAAATATATAATGAAATTGACACACATTTTTGCTCTCTCCCAGTGAGTCCAGACAAGCCTGGCGAGACTTACTGATACAGTCCATTCCACTGGGCTTCTCAAATACCAGTGGTGAGGTGGGGGACAGAGAAGCGGTGGTCAGTTTCATCAGTTTTTGAACAGTGATGTGCATCTCAATCCTCCCCCCATCCTTTATTTTCTAGTGCATTGATGAATTTGACTGACTGGTTTTCCCCATCCAGGCAGCCAGTTTCTTCCATTCCTCATTCCTCAAGCCGCTGGACCTGGAATAGATGCACTTGCACTATGAACATGGAAAATTCCTAGAGGAGTCCCAGCCGCCTTGCAACTTCCCGTATTCCCAGTTCAGTGATGCAATGCACACATAGGAAGCAGAAAGTTTCATAGGGGGAAATGTACTAAGGTGTTACAGGGCTTTCCATTGTGTGGTCTGAACCGACCCCGCAGTTCTGTCTGCTGTGCAGACGACAGGATCCACCATGGGTCAGCATAGGGCTGTTTAGCTTTCTGTGGTCAGCTGCACTGAACCGGCATGTTTGGGACCTGCAAGGAACCTAGAACAGACTGCCTAGGATCCACGCTGGATGGATCCCAGGCACCTGGTCACCCTGCTGCCTTGACTTTTGATGCTAGGAATATCGAAGTATTTTTCCAGCCCTACACTGAGACGCAGGCCCTAATGAAATCAGTAGGCACCCTATGTTTGAAGGCTGTTGATTTCAGTAGAATGTGATGTTGCCTAAAGCTTTGCAGGCTGTGTCCAACAGGCTTCTTTCTTTCGTTGTGAAATAAGTGAATACACAGGGTGAAACGACATTTGAATTTTGTGTGGGTTTGGTTCTGTTTGTTTTTGCTTGGTTTCTTTAAAGCCATGTCTTGTGTACAAGGCTTGTAATTAGCTGGGGAAATAATATTTTTCTAATATATGACATGGGATAGCAAAATAATTTTTATTCAAAGGAATAATGTAGAGCAGTTTAGCTATAATATAGCATAGTACAATCCGTATATTCCGAGGCAGCTAGGCACTGGCTTGTGAGAGCTGGCACTGCTGTTCCTGCCATAATTTCCTTCTGCAGTCAACTGCCAGTGAGTGCATGCCCTTGCCCCCCTCCCCCCTCCTTCCTTATTGCACGTTGACAGGAGTCTTAAAGGAAAAGGAACTGAAATTTATTTTTTGCCAAATAGGTGCAAATAGCGACATGCTTGCCATTCGTTCTTCGTGAAATGGGCCGGCGGCTCCTTCCGGGAGTCTCGCAGCTTTTTTCACATTTAACTATGTGTGCAACAGTGTGTGATGTTACAGCCAGATCCTGGGGCTTGACCACATCTGGCTGTACTTGGGCATGAACATCCCGATTGGATCGAGCACATTCCTCCCCCCATGCGCACACAGGTTTGCTTTAACAACTGCTCTCTTGGGCATGTTGCAGCGTGCATCGGGCCAATCCAGGAACAGATGGGCGGGGAAGGGGCTCCTGGCAAGCAGTTCTTGAGGCCTGTTTCAAAAGCTGGGTTCATACCGTACCCACTTGCCGCCTGACAAGTCACTCCTAAAACTCAGGGGACCTTCAGGAGAAGTCCTGGGGGGAGGGAACTCGTTTGAATGTGAGTGTCGGTGTGGAAACACTTGCACGTCCCTAGGAAGAGCTTCAGATATGCCTTTTCGTGTTTCCTCTGCAGCATGGGAGCAGCTGGAGCGTGGCCTCTCCCCACAGTGTGGAAGTACTGCTGTAAGCACCGAACCATTTGAGAGGAGCCCCTGCTGTAGCTCCTCCCCATGCCAAAATTAACCTCCTTTTCTGGGAAAGCTGCTGCTTGGGCTCCTCCCACATGACCAGGGGCTTTTCATGTGACTTTTCAGTACTAATTCCCATGCCACGAAGGTGAAAAGACGGAAAGCGCTGGATCTGATTATGCAAAACGAGGTGGTAGAATTCTGAACTGTGCCACTTCGGGCTGTAGGTAGGAAGTACCTTGATGTATCTTCAGATAAGAATTTGCTCGGGCTTTCATTTTTTTACTTTTCAGTGTATTCCATGTCATGTTACATCAGATTTGTTTTTCCCCATCTGCACAAAAATTTGTACAGGTTCTTGGGCACATTTCTGTGTGCTCAGATGTATGCAGTGTAAAGCAGTTTTGCAATTAATAGTGTGTTTGTAGTTTTCTAATATATACACTTCCATGTGCATTTTAACAATGTACATATTTGTCCACACTTTTGGTATGTACACATTATTCTGCATTTTTCTTTGCAAATCACATTACAAACTTCAGAAATATATGGATCTCAATAGTAAATTGTGCTGAGGTTAGTGTTTAATTTGGGAAGAATGAATTTGCTAAGCTCCTGTTAAGATGCAAACCCAACCAATATGTCACTTATCCCTAGTAGGGAGTCATGTATAACATCCTTCCCCATGTTTAAAAAGAAATCTGTTTGTAGGAGATTAGCATATGAAAGGTATTTTTGGAATAACCTTGATTTGCTAGCTGATTATGTATTAAATCAACTATTACGCTGTTACTCCAATTCTTATGCATGACCATTTGCCTTGCTGGCTGTGCCTGATGGGAACTGAAGTCCAACAACATCTGGACAGCCACACATTCCAAATCCCTGCATTAAGCATTTTAAAAATATTCTTCCAACTGTAGCCTGCAGTGATACAGTCCAGAATTCTACAACCTGTGTAGATTAGCTCTGTAATCTCTCTTGTTTATATCTGGTACTCAAGATTTGGGATTTGTCTGTAACATATATACAAGTATATAATGTAGATTTCAGTGTAATAGCAATTGTTAGGTTTCACATTTACGGAAAAAAGGTGAAATGGTAAGGGAAGTTCTCCATTTTATGTTTTAACCTTTGGTAAACTCAAGCAAATGATACATACATTTGTGACCAACAGCAAATGACAAATCCACACAGGGTGACTAGCAAACAGCAAGCCAGCCTCAAAACAAGAAGTGTTGGAGCAATGTTTTTTGCAAGTTGTCCCACTTTTCTGCATTTCTGTAACATAGTTCCCCTTTACAAAGCACAACACTACAGAAGAGATCTTAAGGATTGCCAGGCCTCTTTGTTCAAGTGCCCCTATTTATTTTGTGAAAGCAGATAAACTCCAAACTTTAATGTATTCCCTTTTCTGTAAATTCCCTCCACCACTTTTTGTTTTGCTTTTTTTTTTTAAATCCACACTGAGTTGTTCCATATTTGTTCTCCTCTCTTGGTGCGTGTGAATGGTTGAGGTTTTTGTTTGTTTTGTTGTGAAGGGAGCAGGAAAATGGGCACAAGGGTACAATTGAGGGGGGTTGGGGGGAGGATATTTTGTAAATATTTCCCACTGATCTCCCCCATGCTGCTGCTGAACAGTGATGTTTTTCCCGTCAGCTTTTCAGTACTGACATTAATTAATCATCTAAAAAATTATTCAAATTTTATTTTTGTATTTGTGGTAACCATCCATTAACCAAAAGGTGTTTTGTTCCCCTGGTTGCAACATTTTTTTCAAGCTGTTGCTCACATTAACAAATTTTAAGTGCCTGAAGCAAACTTCCATCATGTATCTGTATATTAAAAGTTAAAAAACTCTGTTGTATTGATTTTTATAAGCCTTTTTACCTCTGTGTAAAGAATATATATATACAAGTGTATGATGTACATTTTAGTTCTTAACTTCTTTTTTATTGTTTCTAATATGTATGATCCTTGTAGCTATTGCTTTAAAAATGTACCATGTAAATATAAATACATCATATTAAAAACAAATGAGTTTTATGCTTCAGCCATCTGAAATGGAAGGATTTGGGTAATTGAAAGTTTAGATCAGAGAAATCTGTGTAATTTATTCCTTGTTACTAAATGTGCACCCCTATATGACTTTTGACATCATTTCTTAGCATAAATCATTCTGAGGGATGTGACATAGCTATCCCTTTGATGGCAGGTGAATGTAAAAGCACAGCTGTAGATATTTTCTATTTTACCTTGAGTAACTGTAGTCAGTCATGAGGATATCACAGTATACCAGCATTTATAGACTCTGTGTCTGCCATTTTCCTGCTGGGTAGAACATTATTGTTACTATGAGTGCTTCAGGAAGTCGTGGTAGTGGCAGAAATGCTACAGGCACTGTCTGGGTGGTTAAGGCTATCTTATCTGTTTTGGAAATTATTATTCCAATGGCATTGGGCTTACAGCTAAGTCAACATGTAGGATTGGGCTGTTCCTGTATTAATATTAACAGAAAATGCCATTATTGAGAAAAGACATTGTCCTACAAAAAATGAATTCATAACATTTACTTGAAGCATCACTATAAATTTGAACTGTGAAAAGCTCTTCCAGATCTCATATCAAGTAGTAGTTTCAGGTTCTCTTATCTTC